AGAGAGAGAGAGAGAGAGAGAGAGAGAGAAAGAGAGAGAGAGAGAGAGCTCAGCGTTTCTGGGGGAGGAAGGAGAGAAAAGGAAGAAAACGTGGGAACGTGGTGTCTTACTCTATGTGGCACGCTCCCTGGATGAGTTTCCCAACAGAAAGAGACACAGACAGAGGAGGAGAGAGGAGAATACGCACAAATAAAATCATAAATAATCCCACTTTATTGCGGCCTGATTTTCCCTTATCGGAAACCATTCATGTTTGCAGTTGCTGAGGTTATTGAGGGTCGTAAAAAACGGATTCGATCTAAACAAGAAAGATAAAAAAACAAAAGCAATACTGTAAAAACCGGAAAGCAGGAGAGGATTCCTGGCCTGGAGATAAATTTCATAGCTATGCAAAACACATGAACATTGGAAATTTAAAAGAGTGCCTTTAAAATATCAAATTAAGTGTAGGCGGTGGTAACACGCATGTTAACAATTTCTCTTATGATAGATGGTTCAAATTAACTTCCAGGAAAGTGCATTAACGTTGCCTTTGAAGGGCTATGGCCTGAGCTTGTGAGAACACTACCCGCCTTTTATTATTGTAACCTGCAAGAGGGAAACATATAAACACCCAAGACAGCAGGTAATGGGGAGAAATATAAACAAAGCCAGAAAGGGCTCTGGTGGGGGACAGAGCTGCTTAGAATAGGTCTTGGGCCCTGCCCACTATGGGTAGGGTTAGCTGCAATTTTAAAACCGTTATTGGCACTATTGTTTTTAATTCCTCCATTCGGAGAACAAATAAACCATTCTAATAAATCTATCCTAGAGCCAGGCCCTCCAAAGGCCAAATTAAAACCATTCTTGAGCAGAGATGGCAAAAATCTCTTTCCCAAGGCCTTGTTGAACAGTAAGCAGTGGGATAATCTATCAATATTTCTTGGCTTTCATGCATGAAGAATCGTATTTACATTGTATTAAAATGACTCTTAAATTTGCACAATATTGTAATGTAGCAAATGTAGTATTAATATCGATCTGAACAGGAGATAATTTATTTAGACAAGAGCAGCTCATTTGTATGCAGGGTGGCCAGAGCCGTGGACTTGGACTGCCCCCCTTTTACTTTCAGTGCAAATGCAGGCCTGCTAGTGAGAGAGGGAGTTGTTCTCTGCAAGGGGATAAAGTGAGAACCTTAAAACAAATGGAAGATTTATTGAATAGCCTTCTCAGTGTTTGAATGCATTTTATCTTAATAAGTCTTCTTGATGGAAACGTGTTTTTCAAAAGTGACAAAGAGCCTGGGAAGCAGCGACCAGGCTCCTTTTGCTCTGGCAGGCTTAGGCCTGGTTGGCTCTCCACTCCCCGTCTCTTTAGCCAAATTCATCAGGAAGCAAGCCAGTGTCAGAGAAGCTAGGGTTTCAAAGTCTCATCTAGTGAGGTGTCTGAAAGCAGAAATGTGACTTGGAGCTGGACAGAGGTCTTCTCTGGAAAGGTCACTCTTTTCCTTGTTCCGCCTTAGGTTCTTTGAATGTCCTTGACCTTACTGATCTCATGTCCTCTCCCAGAGAGAGGGAAGGACTATATGGGCTGCAGGAAACACTATGGAATTAGTCCTCCTTCTCTTTTTAACTTTCTATCCTAAAGTGTCCCTTAAAAAAAAAAAAAAAAAGTTTGCCAAAGAAGTTTCTTGAACCAAGTCTTCAAGGTACAAGGGGGTGCTGAGAAGTGAACAATAACATTATTTTGTTGGAAAATCACAGGCAGAATAAGTGAAAATGGAAACGGAGCTGTCAGTAGTAAATCCCCCCCCCCCCCCATGGAACACATTTCCTCTTTTGACTAAACTTGTTTTGATTGCTAGCCAGAAGGGAATTCATGGGAAACCTTCGAAAAGTCATCCAACTTTTAAGCAAACTTCGAGTGATGGAAAAGACAGTTTTAGACATATTGTCTGATGTGGCTTGCTCTGGCTAAGTAGTTGAAGCTGGCATGGAGGTCCCCCATGGTGGTTTTCACATTTGGCCTCCGGATGATATGTTTAATCCTTAATATTCTGGATGGCATCCAAAGACTAGGTTGTGACCTGAACTTACTTTAAAAAAATATTCTTTAATTCCTACACCTAAATATTCCTTCAAATAAATGAGACCAACTCTGAAAGGAGCCATATAGTTAACATAAATACAATAAATCCATTTTCAGCACAATAATAACTTTGATTTCTAGTTATGGCAGCTGATTACATCTATATTTCCTGAACACTAAACTCTTCTGAATGCACAACATGAAATACATTCTCTGCACTACAAAGGCTAAGCCGGGAGGGCCTGAGCAGTAATGGTTATTTATTTACATAATTTCTTTTCCATATACTGTAGAAGAAATATTGAGGGTTCCCACATTGACACAGCCATATAAAAACTGAGACATGGGTTTTGCACATTCCCTCTCCTTTTCTTATCTGGAGTATAACTCATGGAGTGCAAATATGTACTAAATTACACCCCCTGCTCATCTACCTTTGCCCTACAACCAATTGATATGAGCACTCAGGCTGCCTGTCCACAGATGGGAGACTCCTGCTGCAGGGGGTGAATGATTACTCAGGGGGTAAAGCTGGGCCAGAACTAGGGCTTCTGCTGGAGGAAGGCCACAGGGATGAATAGCTGGTACCTGACAGGCAGATCCAGCTACGGGCATTTCATCTCAAAGGAGGAAGGAAATGGTAGTAGCCAGTACCAGATTCAAGTATGCCTTTCCCAGTTCTCTCTTTTAGAGTTGCCTATCTGGAAGTGGGGAAATGATTTCGTACTCTAGGGACTCTAATCATAAATATCAGATAAATGTTTTACTGACCTGAGGGAAACTGTATGGATCTTATATATGTAAGCCGCCTAGGATACCAGTGGCTCCTTTTCACATTGCATTGTCTGTGGCTGAGACTATCTTATGGCATAAGGATGGACAGATAATGCAGGTAAAACAAGGTATATAGAAATACAGATCTGCTTGATAGCCATTCAGCAAGGCTATGCTAGAAAGTAGGCCCAAGGGCACACCTCAGAATCCCCTCTCTAAGCAGTGAAGCCCCAAAGAGCTCCTGTCCTAGCCCTGCTGGCCACAAAAATCTCATTGGCTTCCCAACTCAGGTCAGTCAGTGTGGATGCACAAAACCAGCTGGATGGAGCAATTAGACATCTGAGAGGAACTCAGTCTGGATCTGAGGTCAAAGGAGACTTGCCTCAGAAGTTCTTGAATTATCATTAGTTTTATTTATATATTTGCTCGAGGCCATACCCTTGTAGATGAAGGTGTTAGAATGCTTTGTGAATCCCAGTTCTTGAAATATAAGGGCATACAGCATTGAAACTTAACGACACAGATTTTGCTTTGAATAATTTGTTGTGTCTTTTAGGGTCACATGTGCCCATTATGCAATGTCCTTTTTCAGGCATTGCCATACATGAATTTCCTCCCTGATCTATATATTAGCAAACTCGACCTTTGATCTCTAGTCAACTGGGTAAGAGCTCCTCTGTGATCTTCCTGTTTTTAAAATATTTATTATTTATGTTAAGAAATAATATGAGTATAGGAAGTAAGGAGGAAGCCTTCACTTTTTTCTCTGGTTCCACCTTCCTCTCCATGTGCTTGGCTCTAGTTAGTAGATATGGTATAATCTGCGATCTTGAAATATTTTTAGAGGACCAAAAAGGGCTTCGGTTGGTTTGAAATAAGCACACAGATTTTCAGTTGCCATCATTGTATAGAAGTGTCTTTTTTTCCTTCTTCCTTAGTCCTGCCACAGAAAACATATCTCCCCCAAATCCTTCCTTCACTCCCTACTCCCCCAGTTCTGAGGCAGAAGCATTGGCTGCCTCTAGCCCAGCTTTGTGTCTGATAGCTGAAGATGTTTCCTTTCTGCAGCTTGGAGTAACTGAGCCATATTCCTCCTGATTATTATACAACTTACAGAGATGTGACCAGTTTTCAATTACTTGATCTAAAGCACAGAACGAACTCTCCATTCTCACTGAGGATTTGTTGCAGAGGCCTTGCTTGCATGTGTAGTTGATATTAAATCCTACATTGCTGAAGCATGGACTTGATCTGATTCTAGGTACTGCCAGCTTGGGATTCCTTACCCCCTGCCATGTGTATTCACTATGCAATCTAGGCTCTCCTGGAGCTTTCTGGTTGGGGTCATTTGGGTTTGAGTTGAAACTCCAAGAAACCTTTAAGAACTGATTCCAGGCTGCGTATTTCCTCAGGGGTCCTGGGCACCTTGAAATCAGGGGAGAAAGGGGGCAAAAGTCCTCCTTTTAATGAGCACAGCCAGAAAGATGCTCCCCTGCAGGCGAGGACAGGTTGCTACACACAGCAAACATGGCTTCACCATCCTACATTATTTAATCCAAAGGTGAAAGAGAAAAAGAAAGGGACTAGTGAGGTCACTGCCTCTCTGTGCCTGTGTATCTCTCCCCAGTTTCCCTAGGCTAAGTCAGGGCTGGATTTATTTTTATTTGTATGTGGCCTGAGGAAAAAGAGTTGTGAAGAAGGGAGTAAGGAAAGTATGGAAGGGAGGATTTTTTTCTTTTTCTTCTATTTCTTTTTCCTTTTCTACTTAAAATATTAATGATTTAAGTGCCTTTACTGCTCACCTCCCTAACAATCTGTCCCCTTTTCCCTGTCTCTCCCTCCTGTGGCTGCTTTGGCAGATGCCTGCGGCCTGTCAGATGCTGCCCACATCGAGAGCCTGCAGGAGAAATCGCAGTGTGCCCTGGAGGAATATGTGAGGAGCCAGTACCCCAACCAACCCAGCCGCTTTGGCAAATTGCTGCTGCGATTGCCCTCCCTGCGTACAGTGTCCTCCTCTGTCATCGAGCAGCTCTTCTTCGTCCGTTTGGTAGGTAAAACCCCAATTGAAACTCTCATCCGAGATATGTTACTGTCTGGGAGCAGCTTCAACTGGCCTTACATGTCCATCCAATGCTCCTAGACCTTGGGCACTTCCCACCTCCCCCTGCCCCATCTCCTAGAGACTGAGAGGACTCACTCAGAACAAGGACTCAAAAGCCTTGGGGATGCCGCTGTGGTGGACCAGGCAGGCAGGGGGTGGGGGAGGAGGGCTGGGAACAGGAGCAGCCCACTCTGCAGATATGCAACCTGAGCTGCAAACCAAGAGGAGAGGCTCATTTAGGATCTGATCTGTGAGTACATTGGAAAGGAAAGAAAAAGGATCTCAAGTCTGGTGAGATAATGAAAAAAAAAATTGGAAGAGAGGACCATGAGAATTTTAATAAAATAAAAGGATACTAATGGACCTGCCAGGATTTATTGTGGACGGATGTGGATATATTCTGTACAGAAAACAACTCATATGGAAGTGGACTGAATCCTGTGTAGAAACACACACACACACACACACACACACACACACACACACACACACACACACATACACACTGAACATTGTTATTCATTTTGTAAAATACTAGTCTTTATTTTCATTTTTTTGTAAAATTTAAACATCGTATGCGCATAAAGAAAAAAGGAAACAAGAATTAGTGGAAAATAACATTTTCCAAATAATTATAAAAAATTGTCCTGTGTCTATGTATCTATATCTGTTTTGTATTTTTTTCTGGTTCTAAACCAGATTTCCTGTGATTCTATACTAATAATTTTTGATATAACCCTTTGCTTCTTATAATGAGTGCGATATATGTTGTCAAGGCTGTTCTTCAAGAATTAAAATTGAAGTGAAAATTTAAACAAAAATAAAAGAATTTAGCAAAACCCATGTGTCTGGTTGTTTGAACTATGTCCTCAGAGCAAGAGAACCCCCTGACTAATTTCTACCTTGAGTATTACTAGAATATGGATGGGGGGGGGGAGACTTTTAAGGTTCAATACCAAGTTGGCTACATTTCTTAAAACTAGCTGCTGCTTTGGTTTTGTAAAGGTGAAGGAAAGCCCAGGCACTGTATGGGATGGGGTCCAAGGGGAGGTCAGGGAGCCATGGCGGTAGACAGAAGCCTTTGTGATTTTTTACTGTACACAGCTAGGCACAGGAGTGGGGCAGGGTGGGTGGCTTGTGGGGCAGAGTTTCTAGGCACTTGGGATTCCACCTGCCTCAGTGACCCAGTGTCAGCACCCAGAGTCTAACTGCAATTGCGAACTTGCTAAGCTGGAGAGGATTTGCAAAGGCTTACAGGGCTAGTCCTGTGGGAAAGGGGAAAGGAGAAGGCTACCCAAAGCCTCTGCGTCTGAGAGGATAGGAATGGATGATGTCCAGTGGCTATAGCGTCTGGTCTTTCCCAACTCTGGAACAGAAACTGATAGATCAGCACTGGGAATTATGACTTTGCTCCCTCTTATGCATCCCTGAAGATCTGCCTGTAGTTTGCCCGTCCCTCCAGTTCCTATCACAGGGTTTCCCAGGAGGGTCCTGGCACTCTGGTGGGTGGACAGAAGATATCACTCCCTCACCCACATACTTTGTGGTACTAGGCAGTGGACTTTGAAACTAGGAGTAGGAGTCAGGAAGCTGAGCTGGATTGGGGCTTCCCGGAAGTGCCATTTAGGCCCTAGTGGCTTTTGAGGGCAGAAGCCTCCAATAGAGGCCTCTAGTTGGACATGTGGAGTTTTTTTTTGGGGGGGGGCGCAGCTCTGTAACAGCTTTTGGAGCATGAATGTTTTATAGGATCTGAGCCGAGCTGTGAGAACACATACTGCCAAGGGAGCTTTTTCTTAACGTATTAATAAAGCCAGATCTTTAAAAATAACACCTCTCACACCCTCCCCACAGCCCCAGACAGGCTCTGATGAGGAAGGAGCTTCACTTTCAGAAGTTATCCACAATCTTGTATTTTCAATTTGCTGTCTGAAAGTCTCCAGGTTCCCAAAATTCATAAACAAGCTCCAACCCGCTTGACATTTGAAATATTCTGGGTACAGCACAACAGCATCGGCAGACCAGGATGCCTCTGCAAGTGTCAGAGACCCCTAACCAGGGCCTCTAGGGTATGAAAACTCACCTCACTGGCCTTGCCTTGACCATGCCCAGAAATATCTTTGAGCTTAAAATTCATTTTGTTGTAAGTTGGATACCTAAGACAGGGGATAGGGAGAGCTTCCTATTTAAACCCTGGCCTCCTAGAAGGATAGCAAACCCTCCCTGAGTGTGGGGCTAAGAGGTGGGCTACACCTAGGGTTCAGGGGAAGGGGAGCCAAGCTACCTGAAGAACTTACCTATCTCTTCTGCCTTTCTTCAAATGAGATGTAAATATATTCATTACAATGTGATCCCTCTAATGAAAACAGATAAACATTTTTCGAGGTCGGAAACGTACTTTTCGATTAATTTCAATATGGAGACCCAAGCACAAGGTGCGCAGTGACGAAAAGGGTCGACTGCTTGGGACTTAGATTTACAAGGCGCCTGCTCCTTGTGAAAACAGAGACCTTGGTGACTTGACTCTGGCTGGCTGGGTCAGAAGGGTGGCCTGTGGCCTGGGGAATCTCAGCGACTTTTGTAAACCTGGGCCCAAGCTGGAGTCCACAGGCACTATGCTAGAAGACTAGGCCTCCCTTGGGCACCTCCAAGAGACGGGAAATCCTGGAACTGAAGGGAAAAGAGGAACAACAGATACTCGCTGGTTTGGGGGACCTGGGCAGTGGGTTTTTTCTATTATCTTCTCAGTGGCTAGGGTGGCCCCGAGTGCAGTACAGAGACCGCCGTACTTCCTGAACCAAAGATCTGTCTCATTCTGAGATAGAGACACCTCAGGATTCTTGGGTTGTTGTACACCCCCTCTGGGCTGGACAGCTGCTCGAACCCTAAGCCTTTCCACTTTCAGAGCGCAGGAAGGACACGACAGCCCATGCTGAGAGAATGGTTAGGAACCAAGACCGCAGCATCTAAACAATTGGGAAGCGCCGTCTTTGCAACCGGTTATCTGCAGGTCCGTTCTTCCTGGCTGGCCAATGAGTAGATGCATTTGGGGACCAGTGGCCCAAGGTCTCCCAGTGCGGAGGGGAAGACTCCATAAAGGCCACGCTGACTGCGTTGCGAGAGTTGTATGCTTCCTCTGGTTCTGGTTGTCTCTGTGGCCCAGGACCTGAACCCGAGAAATGGTGGAGCAGGTGGAGGCCTCCTCCGCCTGGGTGGCCTCCGGGAAGGCTCGGAACACTGAATAACCTTCAAGTCAGGCGCCAGGGGGAGCTATGGAAACTGGGTGTGAGACTGCGGGTCAGTGTCAGTGTACGCCTGACTGACCAGAGGAGCAGCACAATGGATCCTTTCCCTCCAAAGTTAGGAAAATAGAGACTGGCTAACTGTGTGTGTTAAACTTGGGTTCCCCAGAGTCGGAGGAAATACATCTTAAAGCTGGGGAGCAACCTATATAAAGTAACTCTCCTCTCGAAAAATACCTATAACCTAAACTTTAAGGACTTTGACGTAGTTTGAAACTACCTTAGCCACAACGTTTGGCTGAAGTGTCAGAAAAACCATTCTGGGGGCATCTTCTGTTCCGAGAATCGCTAAGGAAACCAGGCTGTGCCTTTGCAGCCTTGGGTATGCGACAGAGCAGAATGGAAAAGTATGACCTTTGACATACCCTGTCCTTCCCACACCCGTTCTAACTTGGGACCAGGCTGGGTAAAAGAAAGCCCAGAAGCAAGGATGTGGGTCCCTTCGGGCACCAGATCCACTGAGCAGTTCCAGAACTCTTTTAGTAGAGGCTCTGGGCCTCTGGCAGCAGCATAGGGTATAGGTGGTTCGGCTCCGGGAGAACTCACCCACCAGCTTTGCACCTAGGGAACTAGAACCCAGTTCTGAGCTTGTCTGCTTGGAGCAGCCCAAACAAACAAACAAACAAGAAGTTTATTTTTAAGAACGTTCTTTCTCCATGCATAGGCATTCCTTATATTTCCTACACTGGCTGAATTGTCTGGTGCGCTTGGGATTTCTCAATCACCTGAATACCCCTGCAAATAGGATAGATAGATCTTGAGACACTTGAGGAGGAACTGAGGGGACACACATGAGAATTAATAAAACTCTTGTTGAAGGGCCTGCTCAAGATCCGTGGCCTCACTGGCCTTTTCCTTGGGAAGTCAAAGAATTGTATTCCTAAATGAGTTAAAGACCCATTTACCTCTGTCGTGTTCTATTCATCAAGCCACAAGTTGAGAGTTCCTAACATGAAACTATTTGTTTGCTTACACAACCAGCTGAGTGCAATTTCACGTCTGGGATATCTATCTGAAAGCGCCTCTCATTTATAATCTCTTCTTGTCAGGGAATCCATTTTCCAGTTTCCCCTCCCCCTTCAGAGTTTGTTTGTTTGTTTGTTTATGTATTTATTTATTTATTTATTGTTAGACTTCTTCGCTTGGGAGGACCCTCTCCCCAAAGAGCAGCGGCTCCTCACTCAGGGTCTGCTGCGCCCAAGAGCTTGGACTTAGGAGAGTGGTATGCCTCTAACTACCCCTGACCCTAGCTGTCGGGAGAGAGCCAAGGCTTGGGAGCTGGTGGGCCAGGCCCACCGCTGCTGAGATACATTTCTCTTTGGAAGTCCACTGGGTTAACTATCCCAGAGGGGGTAAGCTTCAACCACCTGTGCAAGGAAGGGACAGAGATTGAAGGTGGGGAGGCGCTGGGGGAGTAAAAGCTGGAGCCTTTTCCTGAAATTGGGGCCCGAGATTCGAATTTGAGACATACTTTCACAAAGCTTCACCTAGTTCCCTGAGGCCAATTTCTTCTTCTCCTGGGGCCAGAGCACTGAGTGAGTAACCAAGATGTAAATAGTTGTGTGATGGGTTGGGGGAGGGGGCAATGCATTTATTGTGTGTGCAGAGGGGAGAAGACTGCACGTGGTTTCAATTTTGAAGCACAAAGAAATAACATGCAATGCAGAAAATAGGTTTATGAATGTAATTTTGAGGAAAGAAAACAATTAACACAGTGCAAGGTTGCATACCAGATTCCCCACCCCTTGCTTTTCGTTCTATCCAAATTTTGAGAAATCCAGATCATGTGAATAGAGTGGGTCTAGGCAGCTGAATCCTGCTGACAAGAGAACCCCTGACAGGAATCTCGGTGATAGCTGAATAATGATGTCTATGCATCTTCCAAACTGCTAAGGCCTCTTCTAACCAAATTAAAAGCAAGGGATCAAATAAATCTCCAAGTCCATCTTATAAAATACCCCCAATTGTAAAGGGTAAAGGAGGAAAGGAGGGGTGTATGTGGGAGAAACAGAGGGAAGGAGAGAGAGAGAGAGAGAGAGAGAGAGAGAGAGAGAGAGAGAGAGAACGAGATCTAGGGGGATTTCTTTAAGAATGGTCAGGCCGGTCTCTGCAAGCTATCCTATTGTGTTGATT